ACACAGAGATAAAAGGATACTCTTTCAGGAATGCATACTTAAAAGTACTGGGTGCCTTTGTTTGGTGCTCTGCATTTGACTTTACTGACATTCACGAGAAGAGTGGTTTTGTTTAATTGGCTGCTCTTGCTGGTGGACAAAAGGCACTGCAGATAGGAACGATAGCTTTTCAGTGATGGAATAAGTCTTCAGGATTTCATAATTATCTGTTGCTCTGCCAATAAGATGGTTGGCCAGTGCTTTCACATAGTGTGGAATTGGTTCCTGATTTCTGCCGCAGGTGGGCTCCAGGAGATAAATCCATGATGTATAAAGATGACAAACAAAAGGAGGATTGAGTGTTAAGTCACATTAAGAATAAGTAGATACTGTAATTCCATAAATGATTCTTTCATTTTACAAAGATTGGGGGGTTTTTAAAGAAAAATTTTGTTTTTCATTATCTCTGGAAACTTATTCTTGAAAGATGTGCAAAAAGAGTACTCTTCGTTTAATGATGTTTCTGCAACTACCCTGTGCTAGGGCTAAAGCCATATTCCTCAGCATGCTTTCCTGTAGATAGTTTTTTCTGTGTGAAGAATAAATATTTTCAAAATATTTACCTCTATATGTGAATATTTATAAACTACTTATTAGCCAAGGTTCATCCAGTTTTGGGGTACTTCTGCCCATCCCAGCTGCCCCTTGTGCCCCATTCTACATTGTTCGGGAGGGTCTCGGCCTTTCCATTGAGATTTAGCAGAATGGTAGGTGAGTGCAAATAAAGAGTGGCATAAAATGCTTTCTCTAGATTCTCCTATATTTTCTAGCAGTTGACTTCTTACACATAACATGTTGAAAAGTAGGATCTATCCAGTTCAATGGGATTTGCTCCCAGAACTGCTGCTTAAGGATCCAGCCACTATATTTCTCTGACCCAGACAACATGACCAGATGCAAAAGATGGAGGTCAGCAAACCTGGAAAGGAAATTTTGGCTCCAGCACCTGCTAAATTTCCTGTTTCATAACAACTAAAAGTACAGAAGTACTGTTCCCTTTTGCATGTGATCACAGTAAAGAAACATGGTTGAGGACAGCCTGCTAGAGCATATTTAAGAAAGAATCTACATTTCTAAGCTACACTTAGGGAGCATAAGGCACAATTCCGTTAATCCAAGCGAGTTTCAGATAGGGGCAGCCTGCCATTTCTTCACTGATACATACTGGCTGAAATCCTCTTGCTTGTTATAGTAAATTGCACTAGAATAGGTTCATTGAATCAGTCAAGATTTTATCAGTCAACTCCTCCATAAGTTTGGTTAATTCAAATGGGCCTTGTCTAGTTGCAATTTAGTATGCTAAAGTAAGTTGCAACTAGAGTAGGTCCATTTGAATCCATATAACTTACTGGGGAGAGTTATCAAACCCCTGGTAATTCAATGAGCCTACTCTAGTGCAATGTACTCCACTAAGCAACAGGATATCAGCCACTGCTTCATAAAGTAGATTGATTAATTCTTATTATAATTTTCCTTTTGATGCAAGATAGGTATCTAAATAAAATATGAGTTACTTGCACATTTAAATTTTAGAATTGTGCTGTTTTTCAGAATTTAAAGTCTAGGATAGTATTTTCTTTTTTTTAAAAAAAACTGTTTTAAGTGTTGTTCCGAATCTGAATAGCCTCAAATTCTTTCATCAGCTGGTCTTATGGCCTATCATTTTACTACAGCAAACCTTGAAATCATAAAATAAATACTCTTTAGTAATTGATGAGTAACAACATTGAACAGTGACAGCATGCAAGCTGATCTTCAATCACTTTTTCCATGTTTTAATGCCTTGTAAAATCTCATATTTACTCTTCAAGTAAATATGAAGTAAATAATAGAGCGCTCATCAGACAACCCTGATGTGAGCCACTGTGATGGGAAAGCTTCTGTGAGTTTTACCTGTTTATTTGTAATTTGTCACCATATATTTACAATTCTGCATCCTAATAGATTTTCTACAACACAGAGAAATTAACTTGTTTTACAATGCAGAGGATAATTTGGGCCACTCTGCATAAGCAGAAGTTTTATTTATTTAGTAGCATTTCAATACTGGCTTTAATTTTTAAAAGCTGAATGCAGTAGAAAAATACAAAATCTAATATTATTTTACCTGGCTGGATAGCTCAGTGGTTTAGGTATCTGGCTGCGGAAACAGAGGTTAGGAGTTTTAATTCGCACTGTGCATCCGAGAAGAGCCAGCCTGTGTGTCTTTGGCCAAGCTGCTCAGTCCCAGGGATTCCCCAGAAGAAGGTAAACCACTCCTGTTAAATTCTGACATACCAAGAAATAACAAATGGCAAGTTGCACCCCCCTGTCATGTGATACTTACGGCTAAAGCTGCTACTTGAAATATAGCAGATAGTGCTTCGGTTTGGTTCCCAGATCATAGTGTAGGCATAAACTTCTATGCAACATCAAACATATTTTTTGTATCTACTGTGAGTAATTATGCTGGCTGGATAGCTCAGTGATTTAGGTATCTAGCTGTGGAGCCAAAGGTTGGGAATTTGATTCCCCGCTTTGCCTTCTGGGTGTAGAGCCAGCCTGTGTGGCCTTGGGCAAGCTGCTGAATCCCAGGGTGCCCCCAAAAGAAGAGAATGGTATTCTCTACCTGGAAAATGCTGGAAAGGGTCTCCATAAGTCATAATCGACTTGATGGCAAATTATTATTCTTATTAATATTGTTTTACATTGTTCTAGTAATAATCTTTAATTATCTACATTCAAGACTAAATTAATAGAAAAGTGGGATATTGATTCTTTAATTTTATGTGCCTGGAGGTAATGATTTGATATGTTGAACAGCTAAACCTCAGCTGGAATTTTCTTGGTTGGCTGGTTGGTTTGAGATGAATGCTAGAATATTTCCTTCGCAGGAGTTGAATTACTACCTTAAAATATTAAGTAGGGGCAGAGAAAGAGCAGCTTTCAACTCACAGCAGACATTTGTAAGTGCTAATAATTATAGTAATTCATCATAATTTTAAATTTGTCATGGGTCATCATGCTGAACTACTCGTGATACTGAGGATGCAGTAGTTGAAGACATTTAATTGTTAGCAAGCTAAGATTAACGTGTTCCCATAAATTGACAATAGAGCAATGTATTTCCAGAAATGCATTTCTGAGGATATGCCAAAGGGCAACTCTATGTAGAATCTGTATCTCAGATTCTAACAAGGAAACAAAAGCCTCTTTAAATGAAGACTTATACCTTTGGGGTATTATGCTGTGTTAAGTGCTCTTAAGAGCATATCCTAAGAGAACTAATAGGTCAGCCCTGGATTCTGAGCACAAATGGGAGAAGGAGACCATGCCTACATAGTCTTCATATTAGTGATTTCCCAGACTCTTCCATCCAGTGGCCTTGTGTTGATTTCCCTAAGGGCAACATCCACTTGGGGTGCTCAGGATTCTTACTGCTGTTGTGTGATGTTCCTCTTGTGTTCGGTGCATACAAGTGTGTCAAATCAGTTCCCTTCCCTTGCTCACCTACTCAGATGGGCAGTGTTTCAGGGAGATACATTTGGATGTGTCCATGCCTCCCCTCTTCCTGGTAGTTCTCCTCCATTGCTTGTCCCTTCTTGTGATTCATAAGGTGAGCTCACACACGGATCAGCTTCCAGGCAAAGTACCCAGGGCACAGGTCCCATTTGGATGTCATCTACAGCTCTAGTATGTTTGATTTTGTGGACATGTCCTTCCCCTACCATGTCTCTGTACCCTCTCCTTAGCTGGTTGTCCTCAATAAGTAGAGTTTTCTGTTTGGGTGCAGCATTGCCATGGATTGCAGTGCACCAGGGATGTATTGCCTTAGGCCCAAGTCTCCTGATTATGGGCATGCACGTCATTCTGACCCTGTGCAAGTCTTATGCTTCTTGACATCACAGGCCCTTGCCATAACTGGACATGTCTGGACTGAGTTGCTTAATCTCTATGCAGAGAGCCTTGTTTCCTCTCTCCCTTGCCATTCATTAATTCCCCCACAACCTGTTCCCTCATTTCCTTCAAGGGATTTGTATGATGAAGTTGACATTTGAAGCTGGGGTGTGGTGGTATTTGGTGCATTGGCTTGTACTGTAATGGAGACTTTTTTTTACCCCAAGCACATGTGTGGGCAGCCAGATACGATAAGCCAGGCATCTGTGGCTGTGAACAGTAGCCTGGTGCTTCATATGGCATTTCTTCTGTTCGCAATTCACCTGTGGCAAATCCAACAACAATCAGTAGTGAATCATGTAAAAGGAATGGGGCTGTACATACCAGCTCTCCCTCCCCCAGAGCCCCCAAATACCTTGAGCTGAAAAGAGAAGACTATAAGGGGCTTCTGCTCACTTTTGTCTGAATGAAAGTTGAAGTCTCTGCGTGACTGGGAACCCTGTTTTATCTGAGAAGCTGACTGTGCAAATGGTTTTATATACATTTTGTAGAATCTGCATACATACCTCTGTGGGGGACATATGTTGGGGACTTGGAACTCACGTTGAGTCCCCGGGTACATATGATGGGTGGGGTAATATAACACAGTCCTCCATTTCTTCAATGTGGTTGTGTATCCCATTCCCACAGAACATCTAAATAATACCTGAGTAATACAGAGCACCTGAAAGGCTGACATTTCCAGGTGTGTGGCCCCAAATTTTAGAACTGGATACCAAAAAGCATGAATCCATGAATATGGTTATGTTGTGAAACAAGGTTAATGGGACAACAGGAAGATGTATCATGGTTACCTCACGTTGTGTAATTCAGTCAGTGGTTGAAAATTCAGCACAGTCTTACTACCACCCAAAAGATAATTTACTTGGAACAGAAAACAATGGCTGTCATTGTTTAAACACTGTTATCAGGCTATGCCCTGTGGGTCAAAAGAGTTTGAGTTCTGCCCTTTGATCTAATGCTGTTCTCATTCTGGTGGCTTTGAGAATGTAACCGTTTCCCTCAATTCCCCTTCTCCCTTGCAGCTAGTGGCCAACATTCTCATCTTCATCTGCACGAACATTGTAGGCGTGTGCACCCACTATCCAGCGGAGGTGTCGCAAAGACAGGCATTTCAAGAGACCAGGGAATGCATTCAAGCTCGTCTCCATTCTCAGAGAGAAAATCAGCAGCAGGTAAAAGAAACTGTTTGATTAATTTGTTTAAAATATTTCTACCCGGCCTTTCTTCTTTAAAAGGACCCAAGGTGGTTTACATTGTTAAAAGACAATGTTTAAAGCTAAAAATAGTAGGTATATAAATACTAGAAAGGGTGAAATATCACACTACAATACGGTAAACAAAAACACATTCAAAGTAGTAAGGCACATAATTTAACAACCCCTCTCAAGCAGCCAGTCACTGCGGGGAAGCTTGCCTGAAGAGAAAGGTTTTGTCCAACAGAGATGGGGCCTCTTGTGGAAAGGAGTTCCAAAGTATGGGAGCAGCAAATGCATCTATGATTATGGTGGCACCAAGAGAAAGATCTCTCCTGATTATCTTAACACCTGAGCAGGCTCATAAAGGGAGATGCAGTCCTTGAGATAGCTTTAGGGTTTTATAGGTTAGAAACAGCACTTTGAATTGTGCCCAGAAATTGATAGGTAGCCAGGGAGCTATTGTAAAAGGCTGGTTCCATGATTCCTGTGACCAGTCTCAGTTATCAATCTGGCTGCTGTGTTTTTCACCTGTTTAATTTTCCAGACACTTTTCAGAGGCAGCCCCAGATAGAGCATGTTACAGTAATCCATCCAGGATGTAACTAAGCTATGTGGCATTGTGGCCAGATTAGACCTCCGCTGGAATGGGCACAGCTCGCACATTAGTTTTAATTGTGCAGATACATTCCTGGAAATCAGACTGTTATGTATTTTAGCCTTTAAAACTGTGGACAAATTGTTCTGCTTCCAGATATTCAATGTAGCAAAATGGAGGTTTTATGTACAGAGAAGTGCAGAAATAGAGTGGCAGACTAGAAACCTTTGCTTTATGATTGTAGTGTTTTATTGTATTTAATGATATTTTATGATATTTGTAAGCCGCCCCAAGTAGACGTTGTCTGAGGGGGCAGGGTAGAAATCAAATGAATAAATAAATAAAATAAATTCCAGATATTCAATGTAGCAAAATGGAGGTTTTATGTACAGAGAAGTGCAGAAATAGAGTGGCAGACTAGAAACCTTTGCTTTATGATTGTAGTGTTTTATTGTATTTAATGATATTTTATGATATTTGTAAGCCGCCCCAAGTAGACGTTGTCTGAGGGGGCAGGGTAGAAATCAAATGAATAAATAAATAAAATAAAATTTACTCCCCCATGTGGTAAGTCACAGGGGCTGCAGAGTTCTGAGACTGTCCTTCCTGCCTGAGGATGACCATTTAAGTCTGGGCACAATCAAAGCCTGACTTGTTGAGCTGTCTTACCCCGTTTGTGATAGACTGAACAGCAGCTACCCTGAAGTCCAGAACCTGGGAAAGTGTCTTTTTTTGGATTACAAGTCCCAGAATCTTCCGATCGGCATGACATGAAAAAGTGACTATCACAAAGTCTGTGATAGAGTGCTGCCTCGCATTACGACGTTAATTCGTTCCAATATTACTCTGGATGTAATATTGTGTGGTACTCAGGACCTGGTTAGGGATGTGAATGTCACTGAGCCGCTAGGGAATAGTGACCATGCTGTGAAGGCAATAGTAAAGCGTTGCACGACTGTACTTTGGAAAGTCACTTTTGTGCACTACAGATCCTTGAGCCAGCATATGCATTGGTATTTTTAAGATATATGTGGCAATCATAACTTTGTATTCTCGAAAGCTTTCATGGTCGGGATCCGATGGTTGTTGTAGGTTTTTTGAGCTGTTTGGCCATGTTCTTGAGGTTTTTCTTCCTAATGTTTCACCAGTCTCTGTGGATGGCATCTTCAGAGGACAGGAGTTAGAACTCTGTCTGTGTTCTGGTGTAGATCATGGGATAACTCCTGTCCTCTGAAGATTCCGGACACAGAGACTGGCGAAATGTTAGGAAGAAAAACCTCCAAAACATGGCCAAACAGCCCAAAAAACCTACAGCAACCATTACTTAAATCATTGCTCAGAAAAACTTGATTTAAGTATATGTGGCAATCACCTGCTTTGGCTCATGTAACTCTTTCTGTGTTTCAACAAAGCCTGGCTCCCAGCACTGAAAAATACAGCCTGCAAAAAGGTCAGTGAACTCTACCCAGCCACAAGGACTGGTGATCACTGCACACAAAAGACTAGCTAACAACACCCATCAATCACAGTGACAGATCATCTCCCCCTTATCACAACAATACTCCCATAACAAAAAACATGCTGATCACCATAATCACCAACTCTCCTGAAAAGGATAAAAAGCTGATCCCACAGCTACAAAAACTCAACTATGCCACACAATACACCAGAGCACAGAGTTCTGACTCCTGTCCTCTGAAGATGCTGGCCACAGAGACTGGTGAAACGTTAGGAAGAAAAACCTCCAGAACACGACCAAACAGCCTGAAAAACCTACAACAACAATCATAAGATTGTATTCACGAAGGCTTTCACAGCCGGGATCTAATGGTTGTTCTGGGTTTTTCGGGCTGTTTGGCCATGTTTTGGAGGTTTTTCTTCCTAACATTTCACCAGTGACTGGCGAAACATTAGGAAGAACAACCTTCAGAACACGGCCAAAGACCCCGAAAAACCCACAACAACCAATCATAACATTGTTTTCTCTCTAGGGAGAGAAAAATAGAAACTAGCCACATATTGGAAACATGCACACAGCAAACCTAGTTAAAATGAGTCTGCTAGTTCTGTGACTCATAGTGTTTGATTGACCAAAATTATAATTTTAACTGTTCTGTATCCAGCTATGCAGGATCTGATATAAATGGTAAAAAAATGACTTTTGAATATCCATCTGTATATAGTTGACCCGGTTCAGAATGGAACATCAGATATCTCTATTTCTCCTTTTGAAGCCCTTCACCTTTAATATGTAGAATACCAGTTTTAGTGCTTCTTAATATCCTGGGCAAACTGTATTGCTTTGCCAGCTTTACATTCTGGCCATATAAGTAGGGACCGTGAAAGGCTGTTGGTATTTTCTGCAACAAACAGGTCAAAGGTGAAAGTCATACATACCTACAGGCACATCATTAAACAACTGTGTAAGGCTTCCCAGAAGATATGTAGACCATGTAATTGCAGGTATATTAAAGATAAACCCCATAAGAAAGGAAATTCTTTTCATGCTGCTGTTATAATGGGGACAGAGAGAAGACACAGTTGCTTTCCTTCCTACTGCAAGGGTATCAATATACCGTATTTTTCGCTCCATA